TGTTTTTTTTTTTTTTTGCAAGGTTAACCATTGTTACATAACTTTGACGTGCGTTCCCATCTTCAAATGTAATTCATATTTAGTGTGTACGCTTCGGACTGAAATAGTTTTAAAAGAGTGACTTGTTTAGATCATTTTATTTGGTGGGTAAGGAGAACTTAGGGGGTCTATTTAAAGGACCTCCTTTCCTCTCGATCAGCTGATGTATGTTGGCTTTCATGGCTCGTTACACGCGCACTCCCTCGCAAATCGCGCACACATAGACAGAGGGGCTGATTGAGGGAAGGAGAATCAGCTGGAAGCAGCTGTTGACGCCATTGGCCATGTCTGCTCTTCTCTAGAACTCTGAAGTAATTGGCGCAGGCTTGTCCACATCGCTCTCCAAGTCAGATGGTTTTGTGGGCTCATGCAAATGTGCCACTGTTCACTCCACTCCCGTCAACTGCACAGCCCCCCCCCCCCCCCCCCCCCCCCCCCCCCCCCCCCCCCCCCCCCCCCCCCCCAAGAAGGCTGGCGTCATCCACCGCATCACTGGACTGTGTGAAAGGTACCGACAGAATGGCAGGGACAAACAGAACTTGCAAATTTTTCCAGGTTCAGAAGCAAACGGATGGCTTTAATTGTCACCTGTGTCACTTTGCGCCTCATTTTGTATGGCACTTCTCCTGGGCACGTCATTTCACACCGTCCCCTTTCTCCGTCCCTCCAGGAGAAGTACGGCACGCAGCACTCAGAGGCGTGCCGGCAGATGTCGACGCTGGAGGGCGAGCTGGCCGAGGCCACGTCCATCCGAGACCACCTGCACAAGTACATCAGGGAGCTGGAACAGGCCAATGACGACCTGGAGCGGGCCAAGAGGTGATTTAAGGCCGGGGGCGCCTTTCAACATCTGTAGGCGGAATGAAAAGTGGCAACCACACGGGGGCGGTATGTGGTTGATAATGCAGTCTTGTTTTTTTGTTGCGTTTCAGGGCCACCATCATGTCGCTGGAAGACTTTGAGCTGCGCATGAACCAGGCCATCGAGAGGAACGCCTTCCTGGAGAGCGAGTTGGACGATAAGGAGAACCTGCGCGAGTCCGTGCAGAGGCTCAAGGACGAGGCCAGAGGTCGCGACATACTTCCCGTTCTTTCACTCATGCGGTCACTCGCTCATTCATTCATCGGCAGATGGCATTTTAAGGAGACCTTCATTCAGTGCCACTTAAACTTTAAATCCAAACGATTTAAACAAAATTACAGCTGAATGCCATATTTAAAAATGAATTAAATGTTTTTTCTAACCCAATTCTAATGTCACCCTTAAATGTTACATCAAATTTATTTTAAATGATGAATGTTTTTCAATATTTAATGAGTTTTCTGTAGAATAAATAAATGAATGTTTTAACAAATGGAAGTTATGTTTAATTCTAACAATTTAATATTTTCATAGAGGGGGATATTAGAAAGCTGAAAAAGTGCAATGCTATAGCAATAGTCGTATTAAAAGATTCTTTTTATTTATCATTTTTATCATTTTTTTTAAATAAAAAAAACGTTTTTGTTTTTTTTCTCAAGAATGAAATCAGAATTGTTGAAGGACAAGTCGTCATTTTCTCATAATTCTTCATTTTGTGATGACTGACGTGTTGCAGACCTGCGCCAGGAGCTGGCCGTACAGCAGAAGCAGCACACGCACGCACACGTGGCCAGCACCCCCACAGAGCCTTCATCATTATCATCATCGTCGTCATCTTCGGTCCCCGCCCCGGCCCCCTTCAGCACGCCTCCCTTCACACCTCCAGTCATAATGTCTGCCAACACGCCCATCAGAGTGCCCGCCGCCAAAGCCCAAACGCCGTCCGTCAATTCGGGTGAGTCCAGACATGCAACACAACACAACACGCCACGCATGAAATGTTCACCAAACCGCATTTCAAGCGCCGTTCAACATTGAGTTCAAAGGACTTCCAATTCCATTTTCATTAAACCTGACCGACATGTTCATGAAATGTGCTTTGAATCTCAATTAAACATTTAAAATGGTTTAAAACACACTTCAATGTTCATTGAACCTCGATTAAGTGTTAAACTGATTTCATTTCATGAGTTAAATGATAATAAAAAACACTTTAGTTAAATGGTGAAATATTTTTTTTACCATTAATGGAATGTTGACAAAAATATTTCAACGTGATTTAAATTTTGATTACATTTTTTTGATTAACTTTTTATAAAATCTTAAATGTTGATTAAAAATGATTTGAACCTTTGTGAAATGTGAATTAAAAACGATTCCAACTTTAATTAAACTCGAATAAAACACACATTTAACATTTCTGCTTTTACACACCAATTAAAACATTTTTAAATTTAACCCAAACAAAACTAAGTTAACCTTAACTGCTGTTGATTTTAAATGATGAAACTGGTGATACACTTTTGATTAAATTATTGAAATTTAAATGTTGTTTTAAACGATTTGACACTTAATGGAATGTTAATAATTCAAACCCTAAAATATAAATTAAAAATGATTGAAACCTTGAACATTAATTTGAAAAAATTGTAAACAATTAACTATGACTCTAAAATATTTCAACCTAATACAAAAATAATTTTGATTTCAAAGTGAGTCACACGTAAATTTAAACATGAGTTCCAGCGGTTTGCATCCGAATGAATTCAAAGCTGAACTGTGAAAATTGTTTTGTCATCAGGTGGCGTGAGCGCGTCAGCGAGTCCTCTGACGACGTCCGCCAGGATTTCGGCGCTCAGCATCGTCGGCGAGCTGCTCAGGAAAGTCGGGGTGAGAACGTTTTGCACTTGGATGATTATATTCCGCTGGTACGGTAGGGCCTTGGGGTGAGCACGGCTGCCTCGCGGTCTAAAGATTCTGGGTTTGAAACTCAGCTTTCAAACAAACAGCAATGGAAAGGCAGCCTCCTTCATTGTAAGAACTTACAGAGCCACCGTTGGCACCTTCTGACTTTAGCCTTGATATAATTGTAAGAGGGTGTGCACACTTCTGCAGCCTGACGCAGGATTTGTTGTGATGTGCCGGTAGAATCTGGAATCCAAGCTGGCATCGTGTCGCGAGTACGTCCACGAGCAGCCAGCTGGCCGCGGGCTACCCGCCGAGAAAATCCCCGATGCGCAGACCACCAACGGACTCTACCACAAAGGGTAAGTAAGATGGCCGCTCTCGTCATTGTGACGAATGCCGGCCGGCCTCACTGCCTGTGTCCGCCTTGTAAGTTTTGTTGAATGTTTACGCAGGCTGGTCAAGAGGTTGGACTTCGGAGCAGGAGCCAAACTGCTGCTGTGAGACATCAGAGAGATTTCTCACGTCTCGGCACTTTCCCGGTGTGGCTACGTGTGTAAGAAACAACAAAACGTCCGGAGGCACTCGCACTTCATTCATTCATTCTCTGACTGACTATGGTTCTTCTTTTTTTTTTTTTTTTTTTTTTTGCAACACTGTCTGCACTGCTGTGACAGGACAGAGGATGAGTGACATTTTGTTCATATCATCTGTAAAATTTTGCTCAAAAATGGGTATTGTAAACACACACACACAGTTGGGGGGGTGGTCAGGGGCCACAAGATTTGTTTTTTTTTTGGTTTTTTTTTCCCCCAATTCCCCATAAAAATCATCACACGATGGAGGGGAAAATGCATTGTTAAAAAGTCATATTTTCAAGAATTAATTGTGAATCTTTCTCCAAAATTCAGTTTTTCTAAAAGTAAACACCTAAAAAACAAACAATAAAAGAGTCACATTTGTCCGAAGAAAAACATGCACATTCCTCCTCCAAAAATTGTAGTTTTTTTTTTCAATAAATAGCATTGTTTTTCGAGAACAAATTGCTTCATTGCTTGAACTACCTTAATATTACAAGTTTATTTTTCAAAATAGTTTTTTCCCCACAAAAGCACGTATTTTTATAGGAAAAAATAAAAAAGCGTTTTCAAATAGATTTATAAAAAAATCGTTGAGTTTTTCAAGAGTGGAAGTTTTCTGCAAAAAGTCACAATATTATCAGAATAAAAGTACCTTTTTCAAGATTAAAAAAAAAAGACAATATAGAAATAAAGGCTTAATTGTTCCAAAATCAGATTTTTTTTTTCCAGGAAAAGAAACTCAGGTTTGGTTTTTCCAGAAAAATACATTAAAATAAAGGTACGCTGTAGTTTTGTTTTTAATGAGAAATGGCATACTTCGGGGGTAGGGGGGGAAATCTTTTTTTTTTTTCTTTAAGAAAAACGGTGCAATATTAAGTGTTCATTACAATTCTTCCCTCTCCCTTCAAGAATTGTCCGATTTCTTTAAGGGAAAAAGTGTTGAAAGAACAACCTTCTGAAAGTTGTTCTTGATAAATTAACTAACCTTGGAAACCGACAACTTGGCTTTTATTATTTTCTGTTCCGTGTGGTCCTAATATGCCTACATAATTCTCAACATTAAAAGTAGTAAAAAAAGTTTTTTAAAAAGCCCTGCCCAGTCCTGTTGCGTCCAACACCGTGTGGCCATTTGTGGTACTGCGCTTGGAACTGCCTTCATCAAAGTATTCAAAAGTTGTTTTTGATGGAAACATGACTGAAATGTTGTTGAAGCTCTCTGAGATTTGTTGCTCTTCTTGACCAGATCAGCACTGGCTCTTGATATGTTCAATAAAGAATTATTTTGTTTTTCTACTTTGCTTTCTGATTGGTCCTTTTTTTTTTTTTTTTGTATCCCTTTGACAAAATGAAATGAGACGAGGCAATACAAGTAGAGGAGGATGCAAATGTACTTTAATGGGCTTCGGTGTTTGATTCCAAGTGCACAACTCTCAAAAACCACAACAACACGTGTCAAAATATATTCCGAATGTGTTTGTTCAAAAGCACCCGTGATTAGAGTTTGTGTTTACAAGGCAAACGTGAGTGCTTTCGGGGCCAAGCGGAACAGTTTAGTGTCAAAATTCAACTTTTTCAAATGTTTTTTTAAAAACATTTTCTTGGACAACTATTGCACTTGGTGGCCAAATACACACAACTTTTTAAAAATTATTTTTAAAAATTCTTCCTTTGGTACAAACTTTGAACTTTTTAGGTCATGTAAATGTACTTTCTGCCCAATTTATTTTTTCCCGGGGGGGGGGGTTGACAAATATGCAATTTTTTTAGGATGTACTGTCCTGCATAATGTTTTTCAATGGAACATTTGTGTGCCGAAGTCCAACTTTTTTTTTTTTTTGTCGTCAAACATTGCATTTTACAGTACCAATATTGCACTTTTGTGTCCAGGTATTCAATGTTTTGGACAACACTGGCGTTTTAGGGGACAAGCTACACTATTTGTTGCTCTTTGTGGTCAAATATTGCAATTTGAAACTTAAAAATAACACTTTTGTGTCAAAGAAATGTCCATAAACCTATCTAATTACAAACTTTTTTGTTGCTGAATATTTGCTGCTATTTTAGTGTTTAACAAGAGAAGTGCATGCCAAAGCAACAGGTGGCGCTCTAACTTGTGGCAGTTACTCTTCAGGGGGGCGCTCCTCGTGAAAGGCGTCGGGCGGGGAGTTTCGTGCGGCGGGAGACGGCGAGCGAGCTTTCTCCTCCTCCTCCTCGTCTGCCTCTGGGATCTCCACCGAGTTCTCCACGATGGTGCTCCTGCCGCGGCCGACGCTTCCTCCTGTCAGCGCGCCCAAGCTCCTCATGGAACCTCCGCCGCTGCCG